CGCAAGTTACTATAATAAATTTTAAGAAATTTGGGTCAAATATCTAGTAAGTTTTCTCCCAATCTATAAAGAGTTAGAGGACCCGCAATTTATCAAAACGGAGATCTACAAGTCTAGTTTCCAAGGCACTAAGGGGTCGTTTGGTTTGAATACAAGTTATGCTAGGATTAGTTATGTTAGGATAAGTTATACTGGATAAGTTATGCTGGGATTAGTTTTTATTGTTTGTTTGGTTTGTCATATTCAAACTTATATTCATTGCATAATTTTTAAGAATAAGTTGTTTGTTTACAAAAATACCCTCCACCTTATTTAGTTTTTTTTTACATATTCTTTGCAAGCTTTAGTTGATCATTCTTAAAAATAAAATATTCATCTTATTTAGCTTAAATATTTTTGTACGTGCATTTCCGTGATTGTGTCATGTGTTTTTAAAATTAAACTTTCATGATCTTATTTAACAAAATAAAACTTCCATCTTATTGAAAATAAAATTTCCATCTTATTTAGCTCAAAAATAAAACTTTCATCTTATTTAGTTTAAAAATAAAACTTTCATTTATTTAGTTTAAATATAAAACTTTCATTTTAAGTTTATTAAAGTAAGAGAAATTTTATTAGTAAAGTTGTCTACATTTTAATTGATATATAAAATATAATTTTTAAGTGAGTAATAAATTATTTAATTAAAAATATGTAATTTAGTAGTAGAGTGAACATTTTAAGAGAAGTCATAATATAAATAAACATAAGAATATTCAAGTTATAATATATTCATAAATAAAAACTGTATTTATAAAATGTATTTTTTTTATAGAAAAATATATTATCATAAAAACAACGAATAATTAAGGTTATGAATGTTATTATAAATGTTTTTAAAAATTATATTGAGGAAAGGCTCAAAATAGTCTCTCATCTTTGGGTTAAGGCTCAAAGTCATCCTTGAGTTTTCACATGGAGCACTAATAGTTCCTCATGTTTGCAATATTGGTGCACTTTTGGTCCTCCTCCAAAATTTGCCTATTTTTTAACATTGATTTTATCCATAACTTATGTATGATATGTTCAATCATCATTTTATATATTAAGTAGAAATAATAACTCCATATAAGAGAATGTGAGAAGAAAAGCATCTTGTTTTGTTTAGTAGAAATTATATTGCAGGTAAAGTCGAAAGGTTCATCACGATAATTTCATGTGCAATAGTACAAATTTTTTTCTTTTCTTCCAACGTCATATGTTAAGATGTTCTTAGTTTAGCTGCAGTCATATTTCTACTGAACAAAACAATGTGTTCTTCTTATCACCTTCTCTCACATAGAGTTATTATTTCTACTAAATATATAAAAGACGATTGGACATTCCTTACATAAAATTGTGGACAAAATTAATGTTAAAAAATAGGCAAAGAATTTTAGGAGGACCAAAAGTGCACCAATATTGCAAACATGATGAACTATTAGTGCTCCATGTGAAAATTCAAGAATGACTTTGAGCCTTAACCCAAAGATAAAGGACTATTTTGAGTCTTTCCTCAAATTATATTAATATGCATAAATATAAAAGTGGTGTATAAAATAGAGTTTAAAGGGGTATTTATTTATTTTACATACTTTATCCCAGGATAACTTATTCTGGGATTACTATTCATCCCTCAGTGAGGGATAACTTATCCCAGGACTAATTATTAATCCTGGGATAAGTTATCCCAGCCTTTGCAACCAAACAACGAATTAAAGGTCACTCAAAAGTTATCCCGAAATTAACTTCTCTTATCCATCACACCAAACAACCCCTAAATCATTTGTCAATACAACTTCACAATAAAGATATATTTGTGTTTTTGCGAGATAACGCAAGCAAACATGTGACTAAACCCCATATCAGAGGAAACTTTTAAAACAATTTCTTCTTCGTTATTTTTCTCATTTTTTACACTTTGAATCGTCGGAAAAACCTTAGAATCTCACCTTTGCTTGTTGGTTTTTTCTTGGATCTAAATTTTTGACAAAAATTGTTCCACGCATTGAGCTTGTCATCATGGTATAATTTGTCCCATTAATTTTGTAGCATATCTCCGTTGGTATTAGGGCAACAAGAGTTTGATTGTGTTGTGAGATTTCACATATATTTCGATATAAAGATCAAGGCAAGACCCTCCTTTTGTGGACTCTAACTTCGATAAGCTGCATATAGTAATTTATGGCAGAAATTCATATCGATTGTCGAATTATTGTAGTATTTTTCCTTCTCATTGATTGATTGATACTATACCGATTATAGTGTCATAGGAGTGCATGCAGAAGTAAGATTCCCACATGAATTCGACAAAAAAAAATTGTTAAGGTTATTCCATTATTTCGGCAAGATTCATTACTCGTAGCCTTAATCGATTGGATTAGCTATTGTGGTTGATATAAACATCCCTCGTTAAAATTTGTACCATATGGTTAGCGATGCCATATTATTTGTTCTTGGGCTATTTGATTATTTGTTGTTGCCCTCAAAGCTATTGTGGTTACTTATAGGAATTAATATGATTTTTGCCTTCAGAGCAATGTGTAGATTGTCTAATGGAATTGAGACATGTACATCATTACGGGTTATACTTATTTCCTATGGGCTTGTATTGATGTTTACGGGGCTATATTAATGTTTAAGAAATATTGGAAGATAGTAATTGCCTTTTGGCTAAATACAAATTGCCTAAGAGGCTATTGAGCTACACAAATTGTCTAAATATGTATAAATTTTAGGAATCACATAGATTTAATATGAAACTACAATCTATTCCTATTTAGTTTGTAATTATAATTCCTGGAAAAGTAAAACAAATCGGATACATTAAAAACTAGCTCGGATACATTATAAAATAATTTAGAATTAGGAGAGAAATAAGGGATTTTAGAGGTTTTTAGAAATAGAAGGGAATATTAGAAATAAGGGAAACATAAGACGTTGTATTTCAATAATTTTTCCTTTAAATATACAGCGCGCCTAAGGCACTATTGAGAAATAGTAATTGCCTACAGAGTTAGAGTATTACCAATAGAGAATATAAATTGAATTGTACCTACCGGACTTTTAGGGGGACACAATAAATTGTACTGTTTGTTGCTTGAACTTACGAGTTTATGGGGTTCGAATAGGTTGATGTATGATTAATGTTTGTTTTCTAGATTTAGAAGCAGTTTGGTACGATAAGTTTGTTACTCACTCTCTTACATGATTTACATTTAGCACATAATGATACGTGCTCAATTTTTCAATTACCTTTCATATTTGATACATTGTTTTGTACATACACACATAATTTGAAGGTGTTGCGTTCTTGCATGCAGATCCCGATAGACAAGAACACATGCTACTTCAGTACTTTAGTCGACTTTTGGTAGATTGATCAACTTCACTTCTTTTAGAAATGTCACATTCAGATGTTTGTTAGTCTTTTTGTTATATATAACTGATAAATAGGTGACAACCCTATCTCAGCCAAGTATTTTATTCTTAGAGGCTTGCATATTTTGAGTTGTAAAGATGTGATGTCAATTGTATTGGTCTTGATGTTTTTCCTTTTTAGACAGTGGCTTGTTGGCCTTGATCGTATATGATATATATATTATATATGTTCGATTTATAGATTTATATGTTTCTAGATACCATTATGATCTCAATGGCCCGCATAACCTTACTTGATTATAGATATCACGACTGTCTCAACTACTGTTTTAAAAGGCGGGAGTGTGAGGCGAGGCGTTTTACTTAGCATAGAGTGAGACGTAAGTCTCAAGACGTGGAGCGTAATCCCTATGGATCTTTAAATTTTTAATTACAATATAGTATAATAATATAATAACACAAAATTATAAAAATACATCTAAAGTTTGAAATAACTACAAACATGATTAAAGAAACAAATAGAAATTAAAACTTCTAACATGATTATACAAGTATAAATAATCTAATATCTTAACTTTCTAATAATAAAAGAATCATTATTTCTAAAAATGTTTTTTTATCAAACTATCCAATTTACCCCTTAAAAGAAAATAATCAATAAAACTTACTAGTATTATAATAAAAACACACTCATGAATAAAAATAAAATTACTTCCAAATAGCTAAATAAAATATGTTAATTTTAAGACATGACAAAATCATGAAGACCAATGATTAGTGAAAAAATACTATTTCGCTACGTATTTTTAAAAGAAATATTACGTAATATATAATCACCTTTCACAATGTTACCTAATAGTAAAGATGTGATACTACAACTTTTTATTTGAGTTACTCTCAATCTTATTATTAAGTAGTTCATTTATTCAAGAATTTTGAGGGCCAACAATGCTAACACATAATTATTTTTGTAAGATCTGTTAGCCAGCCTCGAACGTTTGGCGTTGGACGTGCTTTAGGGCATACAGTCAGACGCTTATGGTGTAAGTCTTACAGAACTAAGCCCCACACTTGAGTCTCGGGACATTTTGCTAGAGCCCCGGCCCAGGGCGAACCCCGAGGCGAGTCCTAACGAAGTCTTTTAAAACACTAGTCTCAACGGTCCACATAAGATTTAGTTTCTATTCTATATGAATTGTTGGAATTAATCGAATATATTGCAAGTTATGTTGACAGAGATTTTGTTGATCGGTGACTTATTTTTAAGTCGGAATATACTTACTATTGCGCTTATAACGAATAGTATAGTTGTCCAACAAAGGTCGACTCAGGATCAAGTGTACACTAGGTACTAATTACGTCCCTAAATTGGGGTATGCCAAATAATTATCAATTTCTAAATTATTTCATTGTTCATTACTTCTTTCATTAATTTTTATCTGTCAATATTTTAAAAAATAATTTTTTATTTTTTATTTATCACTATATTAAAAAAGGATAATTAGTGCACTCACTTCCTTGGTGTAAACTAACAAAAGGAGGACTTTGGGTCCCAAAGAAGAAAGAGAAAATAACTTTATTGTTATGCACCCACCCATTGTATTTAAGCAGCAAGGCCTGACCGGAAGTCCATTTTTCTCCTTCCGTTTCATACTCGACAAAATCTGCGTTAGGTGACGATGAGTTTCTGAAGATCTGATTCCCCTAACAACCTGAATTCATAGATCATCTTCCTCCGATCGCGTGGTAAGCTCCTCTAAATCTCACATTGTATTTTGTTTTTTTCAATTTTCCCCTTTTTTTCTAGCAGATCTGCTTTGGTTCGAGTCAGATTGTTGATTTTTTGTATATTTTTCTGCATTTTTTGTTGCACGGAATTGTGAAATTGTATTGCTTATTTTCGTTTTTTTGGGATGGAGGATCTATGATTGGAGCTTCGTTCAATTTTGCAATTTTCTTTAGGTCTGATTTTGTTTTCCAGTGTTCTTTATTTGCGTGGAATTGTGAGATTTTTATTTCTTATTTTCATTTTTTTGGGTTGAAGAGCCTCGTTCAATTTATTGCAATTTTGTGATACATAATTCTGAAGGTTTGATTTTGTGCTTTACTGCTGCTTATTTGTTTTGATGAGATCTGGATTCCGAAAAGATTTCAACATTCATTTAATTTTCTCACATTTTCGCATTAGCATAGATTAATGAATCAGGCTTATTGAAATTTGGTGATGAAAATCTGGACAAACCACCATTTGACATAGTGGCGCACAAGCGTTTCCTTTGTTAAAAAGGAAGAACATAAGTTGATTACCATCCTTGTACCTCTATGATTTTGGGGGTTGGAAAGAGTAGCTTAGGGAAAAGCCCATTTGACGATGAAAGTGACCAAAGATATTTTTTTTTTCCAAAAGTCTTTAGCTTGTACACCAATACAGCGGGCCTTTCCTAAATCCATGTGAATTCCTCTTCATAGTTTGTCATTTCACCAGGCTCATGAAATGAGTTGACTTCCAAAATTCAATAAGATTGGGGATATCAAAAGAAAGGGAGTCTCTCTAATTCTTTTATCCTGGTTATGAATATGTGATTCGCCTCTGAAAATTAATGACGAAAGGTTGGTTTGTTTATCTGCAGTTGAAAAAATCAATATCAATTGGATACATTGATATGTGTTTTTTCTTTCATCTGTCTTAATCTAAAAGGGTGAAATAATGCAAGAGAATTTTATGAAAAATATGAAATGAGTATAGTCAAGTCATTCTAGGAACCTGTATTTATGATAGTAATTTCCCACCTCGGTGCAAGTGGTAAATGGAAATTTTGATCCCAGGATACAAGACGTACAAGTTGCACTCTCTGATTTTGACATTTTGTTCTTCTACCAAAACTAATGGCAATAGAAGGGAGGTTTAGACTTTAGAGTTGGAGTAGAATATCAAAGAAAGAGGAATAGCAAAAGTTTCAACTTTGATGAAGAATTGACAGAATGCTATTAAGAAGAATGACTTTTCTATATGACTGATTTCATTTTCAGTTGCTACAAAAAGTTCATATTACATAAAGAAAGCCAACCAACAGACACTTTTGAAAATTAAAAGAAAAGGTAGTTACTCTCTAAATAATACTTACATGAACAAAAGAGAACTAATTTGAAGTGTCCTCTATAGATTGAATTTTCAAATGCCCGTTGGCTAGCTTCAAAAATTTGAAAACCAAAAGCTGTATCTATATGTAGGTTCTCTGTAACAGCCAGAAAATTAATTTGCTATAAAAAACGAAACATTCTTCTTTACACCATTCTGCCAATTTTTCTTTAATGTTGCTATTCCTCCTTCATTCGACTATAATTTTGGAAGTCCTTCTTTCTATTGGTTTAGTTCTTGTGAATTGTGATAGAAGAAATTTAAAAGCGCAAATTTGATTTTTTGAGTAGACATTGTATCCTAGGGATAAATGAAAAAAAATTAGTTAACCATTTGCACCATATGGGGAAATATGGTTTCTTGAAAAGGGGGCTTACACTTATTCCATGTTTTTCATAAAATTCTTGCATGATTTCACTCTTTTAAATTATTTTTCAATATCTCTACAACATTCCCTTGTTTGGATAGGGAGGAAATGCAAAGTGAACTAGAAAAAGAGGAGCAACAAAATGTTCTTAACATTCCTTTTACCTATACCAAACCAGTGGAGCAGCTTAAATGTAGCAGTATTGCAAAGTAGTTTTGACAAATGTCATGTACATAGAATATGGTGGCCAAATGTTTAAAGGCGTTTGTTATACAATTGGTCCATATATGCCCTTGATGTTATAAAAGTGACTCAAATTTGTCCTTCCTACGTTAATCTCATCCCGTTTTGCAAAAAATTGCATGCCATCTACCAAGCCAACCCTTCTTCTTCCAGCTCTACCCAAAACACCTTCACCACCAACATAAACTATATACATTAGACATTATTGAGATATTTCTTGCAAATTCACGTGTTATTAAAAACTTGTATATTAAGTACGTAATTAAAGTACAAGTTTTGATTAATACGTGAATTTACAAGAAATATCTTAATAATAAATAAGGTAGATTATGTAAGTTGGTGGTGATGATATATATGGTGTTGGTGATTTTAGTTAGTGGTGGAAGAAGAAGGGTTGGTTTGGCGAGTTGGCATGCCATTTTGGCTAAAATGGATGGGGTTAACATGGGAAGGACACAAATTTGAGCCACTTTTATAACATGAAGTCCATATATGGACCAATAGTATACATAAATGGACGATAGTATAATGGAGGACAATACTAAACCTTTTAAGATAGTAGAAGGGCAAATATGACCCTTTTTTCCCTTTTCATTATCACTTGTTCTTTGAAAATTTTCATGATTATGTCGTATGGGCTATGTTATTACTTTGTAGATGTTGCTATGCATCATTTTGACCTAGTAGACGCTTCCATTGAAAAAATGGTTTGTATTCTAAATGTATTATTTTCCCAATACGAGGAAACATGTGAAGGTTTCTTCTGAAGTTGGATAAAAGTTAACATGTGACTGCATCACAGAGCAATTCAAAGTTGGGATTTGAATGTGTTCTCTTTGTTTAGTCTTTGATCTGTACCCAATTATACCTGTGTATATAAATTGAAATGATATTTGTTATCGTTTGTTAAGCAGAAAAACATGGCCAAGGATGTCGAAGTTAACGGATTCAACCCAGGATTGATTGTCTTACTCCTTATTGGTGGGCTTGTGCTGACGTTCCTTATTGGGAACTATGTCCTTTATGTGTATGCCCAGAAAACCCTTCCTCCAAAGAAAAAGAAGCCGATCTCCAAGAAGAAGATGAAGAAGGAAAGACTGAAGCAAGGTGTTTCAGCACCCGGAGAGTAGATGTTAATACACTGGAGGACAAGAACGTGTCTGAATTCATGTCCATCAGCTCTAAAATCAGATGATTGTAATTCTTAAGGTTACATTTTCTTGTCAAAACAGATAGAACATCAAAAACTGCTTTTGCTGCCTTTATTTGTGCTACTGACTGAGAAATTTTCATAGAAGCTACTGATTTTCCTTTTTTCCTTCTAGAATAACTATCGGTTTACTGTTTTTCTTTTTGCTGATATGAGGTTTATGCTTAGTACTGCTATATATCTTGAGTTGCATAATTGTCGAAGAAGTTGTTTTTGTCTCTTATAGATTCATACACGTTTGGATGGTCGTGTTAATACGTGTCATGAATTGATTTGATGTAAACATTTGTGTGGTCAAGTTTTTAGTGGTTATAAAGCAATAGGTATGTTAAGGGTGCAACTTTAAACAATTCCTAATTCTAATAATTTCATTGATTAATAATAATGAATGTAATTGCAGAAATCAGAGTCCCACAATCCTCATTTACACAAATTATAGCAGATGATATATTTCTAATGTTTTTCATATGTCATTACATATACACTTCTGCAGTTTAGGAAACATCATTGTTTATTCAAATTTCCTAAAAATACCCAATTAATCAAACTTTGGTACAAACTCATCCATGAGATTTCCTCCCCTGCAACAAAGTTAAATACTTAATCAAACATACAAAAGATGGAACACTTTGAAGATATCCATGGAACACTACTTGTTGTGTAGTAGGAAGAGATCTAGTTTCTCACATGAGTTTGGCAAGGCTTACTAGCTCTAAGGCCATTAGATTTGCAACCGTTGTATCGTCCCTTGGATCGATTTGATGTAGGAATGTGAGGATGAGTTTCAGGACCTCTATAATCGATATCAGAATTTCTTGAATCCATGTTTGATAAATTCCTTTTTCCTATGAAGAAAAAAAATAAACGTTTAGATTAGTCATAAATCCGCACCACACATCTCATAGAGCGACCCTGAGGAAAAGAATCCTAGGTCAACACATTAGCATCCCTTGTTTAGTCTAAGAGATTTTTTTTTGGGGGGTGGGGGGCAAGGAATAAGAAACAATTCCTAAGTCATGAGGACTTGGATCATCATGGAAGAAGAATGAAGTCGGGGTAAGGCAAAAGGGCTGTTGAAGGACGGACAAAATGAGTTAATGAACTAAACAAGTTTTGGCAATATTGGATGTGTCGTTATCTTGACAGCAAAATTAATTACAAGGTCCTGACATGTGTATGGTTAGAACATTTATGTTGTGAACCGTGCCATGTGTGCATTATTGAAAAATGTACTATAAGCTATCCCATAGGACTCTTCAAGAATATCGTTCGACGTGTTTAGACATGACAGGTATACCTAACAACTTAGTTTAAGCAGTATTATTTGACATCATTTCGTCAAAAATTACGTGTTAAAAGAATGACAAAAGTCTCATATTTGTAGTTAATAAGATGGTGGACTTCTTATAAGGCTTAAACAATCCATCTTCCTTTGAGCTAACCTTTAGGGTGTGAGTTAGACCCAAGACCTAATTTCACTTGTAGGTTATAGTTCGGGATTAGATATGAACTTTTGAAGAATTAAACACGACTGCAATAATTTTTTTTAACGATTTAAGCAAAATAACTTTTAAGCACGTCTTTGACCAGTAATATATTAAGCTATAAAGGCATCTAGATCTAATATACCTACATTTTTGAACCATATACTATGTGACAGTTGCAAAACGTGAAGTGTGATGGGATTTACTAATGCCATAATTTTTGGCTTTAATTGAACATGACAGAAATGTGAATTAAAGCCGCGTGAGCGATGACTCAATATTTTACTACAAGGGTACACTATATTTTCGAGGCGGATGGACATTTGAAGTTTATGAATTTTTACATCAATTGCAAGTAAATATGTAGTAATAATTGAGTTTTCCATAAATTTTTTATATATATACACGATTTATATTAATGTTATTGAGTTTTCATATCTTACCATAGCATGAGTACATAATAAACAGTTGACACCTATATATAAGTTAATCATTTAACTCCAATACTGGCAAATGGCAATGCTAATAGAATTATATATTTATATATAACTCATCACCATGTTTTATCTTTCTGTTTTGATTAATTTATCCTTCCAAACTAAAAAAATGTTTTAAGAACAACTGGTAGTTATCTATCTATAGCTGTGGATGCTTTTCTTCTCTAATGCAAAAACACCTTTAATTAATGGTATCAACTTCATGAGTTGTTATTGTTATTATTATTATTATTAAAAAGCAAATAAAAAAGACTAATAAGAAGCATCTAATCATTTTCTGCCGGATAATAAATAAAACAGTGAGATAATTACAAATTAACTATCAAAAAAGTGGTTACAGTTGATGAGCTGCTCTACCCTCAATAATGATACATCAAGTTGAGTCTGAATATGAAAAAAATCTTTGATAGGAAACGTTACTCCATATGAACTCATACACTATATGAATTTCAATTAGTCGAGCTCCAATGCAGGTGTCCAAAACAAAAAAATATAAATAAATTACAAATTAGAAGTATGGGGTCCACTTACCCAGGTCCACCCAATGGGTCCCAAAACCAGCTGGTCTTCTAACATGGTTGAATTCTTCATCAAGATCTGATTTTTATCACACTACAAGTGCCTAAAAGGGTACTAAAGTAAGAGGGGTCCAACATTTTCTTGATCTTTTTATGTTACCCTCTACACAATATAAACATATTTTGAGATAAAGTTACAATCTTTGAAGAACAAATTAGATAGTTTTCTGAGATCTGAAGAAGGGGCTCCAATTTTGCCTAAAGGGTATTTCTTCATACTTTAGATCTTTCAAAATATGTATATTTTTGAGTTTTTTGAGTTTTTTTGCAGTCTTAGTGGAAATTGAAGCTAGTTTCAGTGTCATTTTCTTTAATGTCTTTTTAAAGATTTGGTAGACTGTTTCTCTTTTGGAACTAGTACTATAATATGTTCAGTTGAATTACTAGTTCTGTTATCTGTTTAGCTGTTGAGTAAGTATAGAGATAAAAGAATCAATTTTGATCCATCTATGTGATTTTTGATCACTGTGGGACTGAGGAGTCAGAATCTTTCTTGATTTTTATCCCTGTTGAGAAATTAGGTTTAATAGTTTAGGTTTTGGATAACTTGTTAATCTGGTTAGAAATGACTGTTTAATTCATAGATCTTTTAAGTTGTTACCTTCTTTTCCTTAAATGATCTCAAGATGATTTGTAGGTTCTTTCCTCACCCTTGTCGTAGTATTACTCTTGTAGTTTCTTGTCTATCTATTTTTGTTATTATCTGTTGTTTCTCGTACTATGCCTATTGTATTATTTTGTTGTAGTACTGTTATGTTCCTATATGTTGTTTTTGTTACTATCTGTTTTGGACTGTTTTTTCTTGAGTCCAAGGTCTATTGGAAACAACTTCTAGGTAGGGGTAAGGTCTGCTTACACTCTACCCTCCCTAGACCCCATTTTGTGGGACTACATTGCAGTATGTTGTTGTTGTATTTGCTTCCTTTCAATTTTGTGAGTTATGTGGATAAATCTCTCACTGAAAAGGTTAAGCTAACCGTGTAATGTGCTTTGCTTTGTCTTTTAAATAGGGAACATTGAGGAATGAATTGAAAATGGGGAAGAAAGGAAACTGGTTTTCTTCCGTAAAGAAGGCACTAAGCCCAGATCCTAAGGTGAGAACAAGGTTTTGTGGAATAGCTGTATCCAGCTTTTCTAGTGCCGTAATGCTTTTTTCATAATTTAACTGTGACTAAGCATTCTTGAGCTTAATTTCAGAAATCAAAGAAGAAATGGTTTGGGAAAGAGAAGGATCCAGTTCCAGATTCTTTGTCCCTGGTTGCTGCCTCAGTGTCTCCTCCACATCCTGTTCCTCATGTTGAAGAGGTTGCACTGGATGAAGTGGAAGAGGAGCAGACAAAACATGCATACTCTGTTGCAGCTTCCACTTCCGCAGCTGCTGAAGTTGCTGTTTCAGCCACCGAGGCTGCTGAAGAGGTTGTTCCATTAGCTAAAGTGACTCAGTATACTGGCAAATCAAAGGAGGAAGTAGCCACAATCAGGATTCAGACTGCATTTAGAGGATATCTGGTATGCTTCTGTACATTCTTATATTCGTTTTGTTCTAAACGAATTTTCCGTATGTGGAAGTATTTCTTTTCAGCGAGGTTACCATAAGCTTGATCATTTTCCTTATTAGATCAGTAAAGCTTGTATTAAATAGTTTGATACTGAGAAGGAACATTGACATTTATCAACTGCAGGCTAGGAGGGCATTGAAGGCTTTAAGAGGGCTAGTCAGACTCAAATCACTTGCTGATGGACCTACAGGGAAACGACAAACTGCACATACTCTAAAATGCATGCAAACACTATCTCGTGTGCAGTCTCAGATTAGTTCTAGAAGGATTAGGATGTTGGAAGAGAATCGAGCTCTCCAGAGGCAGCTTATGCAGAAACATGCAAAAGAACTTGAGAGTTTGAGGGTCGGTATTCTCCGGTTATTCCACCTTTTTTTTCTGAAAGAAGGGATGTGAAAATTGATCCTCCATCAGACATCACGAGAACTAAAACTGCATGTGCTTAGTGACTAGTGTTTTAATAAAGTTCACTAGAAAATGTTATATGCTAACTTATGGAAACGTTAATAATTACTCAATTGAAAGTTAGCTTGCAGATTTCACTATTTTATAAGTTAAGCTACTACGTTTTTTTTCCTTAACCAATATTCTGTTTCTTGCTATAGCTGTGAACTGAATCGCTCGGCATCTTGTAGCATTCTATGTTTTGTCAACCAAATAGGGGGGAGGGATATGATTATTATGCACATCTACATCTGCACAATATAATGTTTCGAAATGGATTGTTTCATTGTTTGCTGCTTCTTTTTTTCTCTAATAGAAATTTTTGTTTGTTTTGATAGAGAGGGGAGGAATGGGATGACAGTGCGCAATCAAAAGAGCAGATTGAATCAAGCTTGCTCAGCAAATATGAAGCTGCAGTGAGACGAGAAAGAGCACTAGCTTATTCATATTCACATCAGGTAATTAATTAGCTTATCTTTTCTTCTATACAGAAGAATTAGCATTTGGAAAGAGCACAGTCGATGCATATGTGTAGTATATGACC